ATTTTGAGAATTAACTTTACGCAACTCCGTTTTTGTTAAAGTGAGCATCAATCAATTTTGGCGTGGGGGTATTGTCACTAAGAGAATCAGTAATGTCATTTGAAATTCAAATTTTCTAAGGTCAAAATTGTTCATTTAGATCATAATATTTCTTTAATTATAATTGTTTTCTATGATAATACGCTTTTCTTATATTTGTGTTTATCACCATCTCCAAATTTTATCATATATTTTCATTGTTTTTTATTTTTGATTAAATAATTTTCTTCATTATATTAATTTTATTCCAAATATATTTATTGTTTATTGGCCACCTATAGTGTGAATTGTACCTATCGATAGTGTAATCTATACCTTTTGTAAGGGTAATTACATAAAAAACTATCATGTACAACTATGGTGCCATTTCCCCTTTATACATATATTTTTTTTTTATTCTTAAAAAATAAATCTAAATTACCTCTCGCATGCCAAACGAGTTCTTTCCTTCTCCATTTTTTTATACCATGTTGTGTTTTCAAGATTAAAATTTTTTTTTTTATATATATTTTTTTTGGAGGTGGTGCATGTTGCATATGCGCCATTGTATATTTAAATATTTAAGTAATTCAATAGTATATTTAAATACTTAAATAATTCAATTGTATATTTAAAGTTAAGTGAAATTTATTTGTATATCTCAAGGCAATTAAATATATATATATTGAGATATATTTTCATTTAGAGATCACTTGTTTTTCTTTTATGATAGATTTTGTTTGCTTTTTTTTGATACATAAAAAATATATTGTAAATTACTTGAATAAAAATCGTTTCAAATTTAATCTTCAAGACTATAATTTAATCTTTTGAATTCCTCCGTAACTTATTCTATACAATCACACATTTATTCTATTCGTTTCTTAATTTTATTCATTAGTAGGTTATCTTAAAAATTTAAGTTTACAATATTGTCTATCATTATTAAAAGTTGTCCAAGATGATATGGGCCAAAGATTTTGATAAAGTATTTTTCTATTATGAATTATAATGAGGCTTTTTAGCATTTAAGAACTTATGGATTGAGTCAAATGATACAAAAAATACTTTCAATTCAAAATATATTATTAAAAAAAGCCCTAAAAATGTTGTCAAGAGAATTATATAATCAAGCTCAAACTGAAACTATAATACTAATTGATTAGATTTAACATATTATAATAAAGAAATAATAGAATAGATATTTATTTTTCTTTTGCTGAAACATTACTAAGTTCAATATAAATAACATTGAACTGGATGTATTAATTATATTAAAGAAAGTCAAAAAACATTATAAAGGCTTAATTATTAGTTATTACACTTCCATTTATTACAAATACTCTTTTGAAAATTAAACTAATATAATAGTAGTATTAAAAAATAAATGCCTAATTATTATATATAAATAACAAAACCAAGATTAACTCTTCATCAAATATTTTATTAATTATACTGTATCTAATAATTCATTTTTTTTTATAAAGAATCTTTATCTAGATTCTATTTCTGTAGGACCTGCTCAACTCAGGAATGTAATAAATTAAATTTAAACATGTTGACATTAAGATTATCAAATAAAAAAAATTTAAAAGAATTACTTGTAAATGTCTCTTTAAGTTCGAGGATGATATTTTGGAAGATGATATTATCTTCTTACAGAGACGGCATTTGGTGCTGATCATATTATAAGAGTTGCTTTCATCCATTTCTCATAAAGTAAAATATTTAAATAATTTCAAAAATGGTAAAAGATTCTCATTCTCACTTATACCTGCTGTTACATCAATAGTAGAAGCAATAGAATCTTCTAAATCTATAATGGACATTTACATTTACCTATTAAAATAAATATTAATATATTATTATAAATTTATATTTGAAAAGGTTAGCAGGGATCAAGGCAATAAACAAAAAAGTTTTATTATATAATGTATTTAAAAAATATTAAACTACAATTTAACTATATTTTTAACTTCCAATCTATATATAAATTTATCCTTATATATATAAAAAATCTATTAAACAATTAAATGAAAAAATGGTGTTAATTAAATGAATGTAAGATATAAAAATTTTCGCTAAATAATAACCATTATAATAATAATAATCCATATTTAACATTCCACCCTCTATAGGAACGCCGCCTAGGTTCTCTTTATCTTTTGTGTTCAAGTTTCCCATCTATTTTGATCATAAAATCTTTCATAGTTTCGTCTTGATAAATGATAGTTATTTTGGTTGTAAAATCTTATCTTGCCTTGCTCCCTCCAAATCTTTTAAAAAAACGGTTTAGTATGTGATTCGACTGTCATCCTATTGTTAATTATTATCATAATTTGTTATTGAATAATTTTAGAATATATGTAATATTGAATAAGAATCGCCAAATAATCGAAATAGAATTAATTTAATGAATATCGAATTTTGAATAAGAATAATTGAAGTAGAATAAATTAATCAAATGTTGAATAATCGAAATAATATGAATTGATTGGTCGCGTTTTATTTTAATTTATTATATTATAAATATCGCGTTTTAAATAATAGCGTTTGATATAATAATTTTTATCGATATTAAATTTCAATTTTATTTATTTATTTTTAATAATTTTTTATTAATATTAAATTTCAATTATTTTTATTTTTTTTAAATTTTACTCCCTTGTTTTTTAAATCAAATAATAACTCAAAATTACTGTTTTCTTTTATCTTCAATAAAAATAATGTTTTAAAGTGGTCAATATAACTTACAGATGTCTTGTCCTTAAAACATAATTTAGATTTCATTGTATTTAAAATTTTAATTTTGAAAGATTCGTCCACTTTATCATTAATTATATAAGGTAAATGTTTATTTGTATTGTCTACTCTCTTGATTTTTTTAAATTTATAAGTGTCAAGCTTTAATGATTTGGATTCTACTTTTTTAAAATTTTTGTGTATGGGAATTTCAACTATTTCAGTTTCATTAATTTTTTCAGTACTAAGATTTATATCATTATTTTTACAGTCATAATACTCTTTTAAAATTTCACCATGTGATCTTATGGGTATATTTATATTTTCATCATTTTTTATAATCACAAATGTTTTAAATTTTATTATATAATTTATTTCTTTTAGTTTATAAGGTTTTAATTCAATATCTAATTTTTTTATACTAAAAGATTTATAATTATAATGATAATTTCTTTTATAATAATGTGTTTCTTTATCCAATTTTCTATTTTTATAACAATTCTCATTATTAGATTTACTAAAAATTTTATTAGAACAATTTTCTTTTATTTCTGTAGCCGATTTATAATTACATAAACACTTTAATGTACATAATGTTTTATCATAACTCGAATTTAACTCTCTTGGAAACACTGCTTTCATGACTAAATATAATTCATCTGGTAAATTACCTATTAAGCTTAGAGTATTCTCACTATCATGAAATTTTAAATAATCATCTAACTTGTCAATGGACTTTGTTTTATTATTAGTATCCCAAATTGGTCTATTCATGATTTAGAGAAAAAAATTTTTTTTTAAAATTATTCTTCACTTTTTTAAAAAAATTAATCATATCTTACGTGTTTTTAGAATAATATAAATATTACATTCCAGAAATATTTTTTATGTAGTTGTCTACATTCTAGTAGCTAAAATCAATCGTGTCTGTGGATTTAGAATAATTTGTAAGTCATTATATCCCAATTTTAGTAATCATTTCCATTATACATGATAGCTCCGTAGTTTGATGTCTAGCTTAACAATTCTCCTCATAGTTGATTGATCCATTTGATCTAATTTATATTTTATTTTTTTTTTGAAAATAAATAAATTTAATTTAAAATCGTATATCTCTCCGCTGCCACCATGAAAAGGTTAGCAGGGATCAAGGCAATAAACAAAAAAGTTTTATTATATAATGTATTTAAAAAATATTAAACTACAATTTAACTATATTTTTAACTTCCAATCTATATATAAATTTATCCTTATGTATATAAAAAATCTATTAGAGCAAAACATATAGTCTAATGGCTATTTCCTTTAAATTGAGTCCATTATTTGAATTTTGGCGGCCATTTTTTAGAGGACGTTATTGGATGTTATTGGATGTTATTGGATGTTTTGGCTATTTTGAGCTCGGCGATTTAGTGGTTATACGGAAAAAATGGTGTTAATTAAATGAATGTAAGATATAAAAATTTTCGCTAAATAATAACCATTATAATAATAATAATCCATATTTAACAATATTAAATAACTTGTAAGAGCTCTAAATCTCTCAAAATTTAGGAAATGAATAAATATATCTATAAAATAAATGGTGGAATGGAAATTGATAATGTAAGTTGATAAAATATGAAGATAGATATTTTTTTAAAAAATAATATTTTAATTTAATTTTCAAAATTTTTATTTTATTTATTGCTTTTTAAGTAAAAAATTAATTTTTAAAAAGATCGGGATCGAATTTTAAACAAAATGATCTCGAAACTCAATTTAAGTCAGAATCATAAATCTCGTAAAATTGACAAACTTGCGATCGAATCCAGGATCGTCGATCTTTTGATTCGATCTTTTATCAACTCTGGTTGATAAGTATACTAACTATGATTAATTTTGAATCTTCAACTCTTTAAATATAAGGATTTTATATATATTTATTTAAAATAAGATATAATTGATCTAAAAGCGACATGAAATAGTAATTTTTTTATAAACTAATATCAAGTATGTCTAAAACCTTTTATTTTTTTAGTGCATTATTACAGTCACACTTTCCTACTATAGAGCATAAAACTTATTTTATTATATACTTTTTAAATAAAGATATAAATTCTTTTCACAGTATATTTATTCTATTATAAAAAATTAGAAGAGAATTAGAATAAATTACTGTATTTTATAGACATTTATAAATTATAGAATTTCATAAAGTAATAAATAATATGTTTATAAGAATTCATTCATTTAAATCATATGGTCCTCATATGATAATTAATGTTTTCCCTAAGAAAAATGATTAACTTTAACTCGAATATTGAACTTAAATTAAAAGAAATTTTTAGATTATGCGAATTAAATATATTCTCAGAAGTATATTTCATATCAATATACCATAATTAATATATTTAGGAAAAATTAACAAAATTGTGCACAAAATATACAGAATTTGAAAACAATGATAAATTTAAATTCCTTAAATTAATAAGCTCTCAATACTCTACAAGTGCTCCGATTGTTTTAGAAAATGCACAAAAATACATAAATACTTATAAAGTTTATTTTTTACAATAGTCTTCCTAAAACAAACTTTTAAGATATCAACAAATAAAAATAATTTAGAATTGTTAAACTCACAAGAAAGTTTGTATAATTCTTTGACTCCACAATATGTGCATCTCTTTAAAAATATTGCAAAATTAAAGACAGGAGTAAAACATCTTGTTGACATGAGAGCGGACTTGATAGTTAAATTTTAAATTTTTATTTTTCAAAATTATCTATAGGAATTTACAACTGATAAGAATCCTGAAAAACAAGATCTTGAATGCATGAATAATTTGTTGAAAGAACTTTTACAAATATGGTTTTCTATAGGTTTGCTGGATGTTGAAAGGATAACCTGGCAATCATCATGTGATATGCTTCAAAAAGTTTATATTCATTATTTGATAAATTGCCATAGAACATCAATTCTCTTATATTTAAAAGATTTCCCAGTATGAAGCAGTTCATCCAGTAAAAAATTGGACGGATTTAAGAAAACGTGTTGGTCCATTTAGAAGATGCTTTGCATTTACTCATAAAAGTATGCCTGGGGAACCAATTGTAGTTTTACATACAGCTTTAACAAATACAATTTGCAATAATATACAAGTTATAAAATACATAACTCTATCAATTTATTTTCAATTATCACTTTATAAAGATTAGAGAATGGCCAGAACCAGCTTGTGGAAATTTTCTATCAGTGTTTTTGACCCTGCCCATAATTATTTTTGTCCAACCCTTAAAATATATCTTATACAAATTATTGAGTTTGGCCCTTAATAATTTAAAGAAAAGGACATAAATTTGCCTGATCTAAACTTTAAAAATATTTTCAAAACTTTAGCATGGAAAATATTTTGTACAATTTGCTCAGCCAATGGGCCAGTGCACCAATCTCTACTATAAATTATTAAAATAAATTTGATTATCAAATAATTCATTCTAAAAATTATCTCCACCTTTTCTTTGAGCAAATTCTAAAAATATATTTAATCTTTTTTGAAAATTTTTTGCCTTAACTTTATGTATAGTATTTCCATTTTTAAATGTATTTTAATAGGAAATTGTATTCCAGCCTAAATTTAGATCTTTACAAACTGATAATCTATCTCAAAAATTAGAAGCATCTAATGAAATTAATGCAGCAATTTTTTATTCCATTACATCCACCCAAAAAGGTTAAAAAATTTATCTAAAATGCTATTTACACATTGCAAAATGTTGGTTTATTTGAATTGAATACTATGTGATCAAATTTTTTTTTAAAAATACGAATTGTTCAGCAAACTTTTTTTATAATAGCTACCCTATTTATAAAGGTGCTCAGATCATTATAAGTTCAAATTGGACGAGTTACACTGTATTAAACACAATCCAATATTTTTTATTGCAGGTTTACAAAATGTCGAATTAGGCAACCACTTGATCAAAAAGGTGGTTAAAAATCTGCAAAATGAATTTCCTAACATGCATAAATTTTCAAGTCTGTCACCTATCCCTGGCTTTAGAAAATGGTTTGTTAAACTAATGGGAAAAAAACTGAATTCTAACAAAGAGCTCAATGATTCAAGTTATTATATATCCATTATGAGAATTTTAAATTTTTTTTTGCGAAGAAGTAATAACTAATAATCGTTCTGAAAAAATATTTTTATCATTTTGAAAAATTTCTCTTAACAAAGCAGACCCAACAAGTTTTATTTATTGTTACGCAACACACCATCTGTTTTGTCGAGTGGAATTATATTTTAAATAATTCTTGCAGTATAGGAATATTTATTGACGTGAATATGTTGTAACAATAATACCAATTTATTCATTCCATATTTAATATATATGATTACCACATTAATATACGAAATAATGCCTTCTATTTAATTTGTTATTTTCATAAGTTTTGCCTGTAGCCACACTAAAATACTTTTATCGTATTAAAATTTTACTCTCCCAGTAATTTGTATATTTTCTTAATTTTGTGATATTAGTTTTTTTAAAAATAATCTCATCCGTCTAAAACTGGTTTAAATTAGCAACAATTTATTAAGATACAACTGCAACCAGAGGATGGACGGCAGAAAGGCAACTCCCTCTCTCCGTTATAAAAAAAATGAAAATGTTTTTTTTAATAATTAAAAAAAAACAAGTACTGGCAACATTAATTAATGAAATATTATAATTACCGAGTTCTATGTAAAAATGAACCCTTTTTAAGTCTATCCCGGATTTTTGCGGGCCGGGGTCAGGCGATATCCGGGTTCAGAGCCGGATCTGTAAATATGTAATTGCCGTTTTTTATATTGGTTTCTATTAAATTTATTTAAAAATTAACTGATTTTTATTTTACATTGTACCTCCTCCCATTCTCTAATTAAATTCCTGGCTATGCTTCTGTTTATTTTATATTTGAGAATAGTGTTGTTAAAAGGCTCGTTTTGAGCCGATTTTTCAAAACGGTTAACTCGATATTTTAGCCAGCCTCAAAATTTCGTTAATAGATGACCAAACCTTTGTTCCCTCTACAAACTAAATCTTCAGGCATGCGTAATACTATTCTGGATGAAATATTGAGTTATCCGTTTTTAAAAATCGGTTCAAATAAAGCCGTTTAACAATACTATTTGAGAATATTTAAAGCAATTTTAAAGGGATTATTTTATTTTAATTTTTCATTGATATGATCATTTTCGACTAAAGATATCAAATTGTTTTAAAATAGAGCACTTATCCAATTTAAATAGACAGAATAAAATGAAAGTATACAGAACTTCATATATATTGTCAACGTCATGAGTGACTATTTTTTAAAAAATAATTATTACTAAAATAATTTTTTTTTTAATATTAAAATTTTTATTGAATTTAAAACTTTAAGATTCACTACTAGATAAAGTATTTACTCCAACAGTAATCGCCGAAATCAATCCTAAATTACCCAATTATCAAGAAATTAATGATGAAAATCCAGGTCTTCCAATTTTGAAAAAAGATGATGGACCATCTAATTCGAATATTAGCGATTTAGGTATTTCTTTATAATTTTTCTTTTTTCTCTCTCTCTTCCATTCTTCATATAACATTGATTATTGCTAGACACCTGGAAGGGTAAAATCCCGACTATTATGTCCCAAATCGTCCGAAGCCTTTTTTTTAAATATTTAGGCTGGGCTCTATCCGTTACCCGACTTTTAATAAATGCAATTTTTAATTTATACCTCATACAGGTCTATAGAAAATTATTCGATATTCTAATTTAAACTTACAAACGAATTTGACGAATATTAGATTTAAATTATTTGTACAAATTATTTCTGTTATTAAATTTTAGTAAATATTCTAATTATCCCTTTTACTAGTATTCCTAATTGATTATTTTTTTAAATTAAAACCATTTTAATAGTTTAATTAAACGGCTCGACTAAGATTTTCGCCATAATAGACGTCTAAACCTTTCTGCCATCTATGAGAAAAATCTTCGGGCTTACATAATATTATTTTGGCCTAAATCTTAATCGGGCCTTTTTTAAAAATCGACCCAAATAGAGGGCCGTTTAACAACATTACACTAGTCAAATATTTTATATTTTCTGGCGTAGTAATCATTCTTTTATATTTTTTTATGATAATGAATTTTGTTTAAGATCAATATAACAACACTAAAACTCTGTTAATTTAATGATATTTATTTGTTGATTTATTTTTAAAAAAATATGAGACTTTATTTTTAAAACTCACGTATTTTTTTAAAAAATTTATATGTTAATTGAAATATTCAATCAGGCAAAGAACGGAAGAAGGAAATATGATATTAACTTTTGGAGGAACCGGATCAGGCAGTATTTTATTGATATCTCGATCCGCGGGTAAGCCCTGAATTCTAATAATTATCTTCATGAATAGGAGCATTGCTTTCACTTGGAAGATTTTTTAAACAAATTCCTAGTAGTTTTTATGGCGCTTTTTTTAAAAAATATCGTTCGTTTTTCAGATTCTACTAGTTTGGTAAAGTGGAAATGGTACATTGTGCTAAATTTAGCTATTAAAACTCTTATGTAGATTCAATTTCTGTGACAATTTATCATTTGGGAATATATGATATATGTGAAAAATATTTTATATTTTTATTTTTCCATTTTATAAAATTATTTTTTTTATAAACGTAAATAAGCCAAAGATGCTTATAAACAATATATATCTATTCTAATTATAATATAATTTTTGTATTAATTTTTATTCATACTAAATAAAAGCAATCTTTTGCAAAGATGTAGTCTTATAGTTAATGTTTTATTATAAATTAATTTTCGTATTTATAGATATTACAGATTAATTTTGGCTTCTATAATTTATATCTGATTTAAAACTTCAAAAGACTAACTATCGTTAATGAAATGAAAACATAACCAAAACTGCCATCTCCACCTTAGTATTTTGTTTTTATAAATATATAGCTCAACCTACTGCAATTGGCAGATTTTAGCTTGAAAGCCCGCCTGCTGTTTTAACTTTAACCCTCTCACCCATCAATGATTTTTTTAAAATTACACCGCTCATTTATCATTTAGTTTAATCATCCCTCCCAATGCTTACAAATTAATTTGATGATTTGTTTGGCTCTTTATTTTAATTTAATGTATTTTTACTATAAAATATGCAATATTATGAAATAAAATAATAATTTTTATTAAAAAGAAGTCTGTTCCTCTCATTTCGCTTGCGAAATATTTAAAATTCATTCGGCCATTGTTATATCTGTCCGCTCACCAGCCCAATGTTTAGCCCACGCCCGACCATAAGACCTCTAACTCAGCCCTAGAAAAAGAGGGGAAAATATTATCAATCAATTAGCAAATTAGTTTCATCATGCCCCGATAGATTGAATAATCCAACTAGGTCATTTTTTGTAAAAATGATAATTACTGGAATTGAATCGGAGTTTAAAAAAAATCAAATAACTATAAACCTTATGCTATAAGAGAAAAAAAAACTTATTTGATACTTCAAATCCCAGGTTTTATGAAATGCTTAGAAAGAATGAATTAAGAGTGGAAATATTTATCTTTAATTTAATAGAAGTAATGCATGTTCGTCATTGAATTTGAAGAGTAGGGAGTGATGCTATTGTCACTATAAATTGGGGGGGGGGGGAGTAGATAGTAAATGAATGTAAGATAGGGAAGATTTTTTTGGTTAATTTTCTTAAATTTCCTTTTTTTGAAAAACCCAGGCGAGCAACTTATCTAAAATATCTTCAACAAAAATTATTTCGGGCCATCTGACAACTTGTACATAATTTTTTAACGACCCCTGAACCGGGTTAAAATTTTTAAGGGGCGGGCTATTCATCTAATTATCTTTAAATAATTTTCCTTACCTAATATTTATAAGAGTTGGATACGAATAATAACTTTTGGAGAAGGATGATAAGAGTATTGGGAGAGGATATTACGAACAAATGGGTGACCGATATAGGCCTCCAACAGTTAAAAATTTCTCTAGAAGCTCCATTGGTAAAATTATGCCTTCATTACATATACGATATCAAATATGCCGATGGTTATGCTACGAATCCCGTGGGTAAAATATTTGTATTATTTTTTTATTGTCATTTTAATTTTTTCGTAAAAATATTCATTTTTGAATTTTTAAATATAAAATTTATTTGTAGTTGAGCAATTTATTTTATTATAAATCTTATATTACTCAGTATTGGTTCGCTTGCCATTAAAATTTTGACTTAAAAATATTTTAAAATGTTATTTATTTCTTCAAATACAATTTTAATAAGTAATAAAATTAATTAAATGGTGCAAGGTATTAAATTTCTAATCCAGATTTTAAAATATCGTATCCCATTGAATGCTATCCAAATATTTAAAATAAAATATCCGTTTATTTTGTATACCATCCATTTTCATTGGCTGTATCTTTTAATGGAGGACTTCAATGAATTTATACTTTTTAATTATTGTGTTAAGGTAACTAGTTACTTTTAAAAATATGTTAAATAAGAATTTTTTAGTACAGCCAAGCTTATTTATGGAGAAAAAACTGCACACTCTTAGACACAAATTTTGAAAATAGCTTATTATTAAAGTCAAATTAAAAGTCATTAAGCTCAATTTTTTTGAAAAATAGTGTTATTTTAATGCAAATAATTATGTAGATTATATTTTTCAATTATTTATTTTATTTAAATCATATTTTCATTACCTTTGATTAAAATTTTTATATATCTTTTTATTTAAGTCTAAATTAATGTCATTAAAACCACTGTATAAATCATAATTATATAAAATAAATCAATTACACAGGTTTATTACAGCAATATCAATTTATTAGTGTTCGCCTAACAAGCAGTTTGTTTTTTTGCTTTAATATATTTTTTTAGTTTATTTATTTTTATAAAAAGCAAATTTCCATTTTAGGAACGGCGCTAATTTTTGGAGAATCAATTGGATGGCCGATACTTCACCTAGAGGATTAGAATATTCATTTGGTATAATGATAAATTACAGGTATTATTTGAATGAGGTTGAAGAAAATAGCATCAAATACATTACCGAAAAGTTCATTTCTATATCAGAGTCGTTAAAGAGTAGCCTTCATTCATTCCCAAAATAGACTATTTTATATCATTTATAAATTATTGGATTATTTTGTAAAATTTAAAGTGTTAGAAATAAATGAAATTTTTTTTTAAAACTGATATTTTTTTTAATATTTAGTTCAGGAGGATTTTTTCATGGGGAAGGGATATTCCTTTTCTTTTAAAAGCCTCCAAAATTGTCTATCCATCAGCTCCTTAAGTTTGCCAACAATTAAAAGCACCAATTCTAAAAGATATGTCGCTTCAATCAGTTTAGTGGCCATGATATATAAAAGTCATAGACCAAAAACAAAATTGGCCAACTTAATGTATAAAAATTAATTGAAGTACCAAAAAAATAATGTATATTAAAGTTATAAATTTTTTTTTGGACTGAGCCAAAGTTTTAAAAATGTTTTTAAAGCTAATAATTTAGCAATTTTTGTTGTTTTCCTTCATAAAATATTATTACTGACTGAGGTGTTATTAAACACTACTTTTGGCAAAAAAAATATATTATTCATTTTATAGTATATTAACAAAAAAATCATTTCTATATTATCATCTTTGTCTAGTGAGGATTCTGAAGTATAAGTTTGGATTATTATAATTGTTATAGCACTTGAGAATGCTATTTAATTTAGTAAACTTTTTATAAAAGAAAAAATATTAAAAATACTCATTTGAGTATTTTGGATTTAAAAATGCATCAAGACAATTTATTACCTAATGTATCGTGTATTTGTTTAATCAATGTTACCAATAGCCTATTTAGGTGCTCTTTCCAATTAATAAAGATAAGAACGTAAATACTTTATTTTACCTTCATGATTCTCAACAATCTTCTGTTGTGCAGTACTATAACAACTCTTGGGCTAGGTCAGAAAATTTGCATAAAATATATTTTAAACCAGGTTAAAAAAAACTAGTTGTGCCTGGCCATAATCAAAATTTTCATGGGGCCATTTGGGCCAACTTCTTGTAGTAAAAACTAGAGATCTGCACTTGGATTTTTAGGCTGCCTAAAACTTAAGTGGGTGAGCAGGCAGGTTAAAAATAATTTTTAAAACAATAGGCAGGTGAATTTTAAATATTTTTCAGGCAAAATGAGCAAAACATTTATTTATTAAAATTATTTTTTTATTTTATATACTATTGCATATTATATAGATAAAAATACATTAAAATAAAATAAATAACAAAAGCAACCATTAAAATATTTTTCGCCATTGAGTGGATGGGTTAAATAAAATTTTCCTTTATTAAACTAGTAATAAAAATTTGAATAAAAAAATAAAATAAATATATACATCAAACATACCATCTTATTACCCTATAACACATTTATTAGTTTTTTTTATATGTAATCAATCATTTCTAAATTACAAAGAAGGTAAATCAATTAATTTATTTGTTAATATTCTTTGATCAAGATCTTTAATAGAATTAGCGCATATAACCCCTAAAAGATAAATATTTTATAATCTAATATAATAAAAATTACGGTAATTTGATATTCATAAATATTCTACAAGCTATATAAGGAATGACAATAAAAGCTATCCCCATAAACATTAGCATCATTCTATTTAGTTTTGGCATTATAGGATGAGTTGATTGGTCTAATATGACAAATCCTAAACCACCAAGGCAGAACATAAAACTAGCAGCTAAGCCTTCCATGATAAATTGTCCATTAATCCTTCCTGCCATAAAAGCAATCTTATAATTTATTACGTTTTATAAGATGTATTTTATATTACCGGTTTTGATCGGCCAAATTCGTCAGGCATCGAGCCTAAGCTCGGTGGTTCATTAATAACATCATAAATTAAACCTAAATTTAACATATATTTAAATAATTATAATTTGAATAACCTCCAGTAATAAGGAAATAAAAAAATATTAAGCAACCAAATACCATCATAGGTGTTGGATATCTAACCCAGCTCGGCTTTTTTAATTTGATATTTGGGCATTCTAAGAACTTAAAATACAAACGATAGTACGATTCCATAACGTGGATTTGCTAGTATGGAAAATATATATTTTGTTCAACAATTGATCGAAATTAATAATTTGTCAGTTTGTAATTGACATTTATGGCGGTTGCCATAGTCTTTTTCGAGAGAGGTATTTATATATTGATTTCATTATATTTATCCGTCACATGTATATTTTCTTTAACTGAGAGTTTTTGGATTTTCATTTGTAGCAATTCATGGATATCAGTTTTAATAAACTTGTATAATCATTCTGATATTATGTATGGGAATCTTTATATCAAAATGAAGATTGTTATCAGTATCTACGACCTGAACAAGAGGGAGGTTAGGGAAAGTTTGCTTCATTTTTAAGGAGGGTAGGAGATGTGAATTTAGGGGAGTTAGAATAAATTTATTTGGAGATTATCTATTAATTTTTATGTGAAATAGGGCAAAATATAATGCTGTAAAATTGTTCAATTCCTTTAATATAGACATGTTATAATACAATGATACTGCGAAATCTACTAAATTTATATTTTGCACATAGTCAATCAGTCATCGTTTTTCTTATAAAATTAGATAATTTTCGGCTTTCTTTTAAAATGGTATATAAAAGTGTTTCTCAAGCATGCCAAACAATATACTATAATAATGCATTCATCTTAATTGAGGAGGTTAAATTTTTATGTTCTAATTAATAACTCTTTTACAATCACTTTTTGATGGTAGTAGAGTGAATATTATTGTTAATTTAAGTTATTCTTTTTAAAATATATGAAGGGAATGCCATTATAATTAAAAAAGTATATAAATTATTTTTTGTGGGGGGGGGGGGATGTTGGTACAGGTTTTTGAGGTGGGTTTGCTTCCATATACTGTCATATTCACTCATTGTTATAAAGTATATAATTTATTATTTTTGACATATAGTTTCGATAAAATAAAAATAAAATTTTATATATAAATAATGATGATAATAAATTTGAACCTTTTTAAGTATATAACTTTATATAAGTAATATAAAAAATTCTATAAGCTGAATATATACACATATTAAATACATTTTTCTAGAATTATAGTTTATAGCAACAGGACAAAATTATGTGCAATGATAAAACATGCCAATGATATAGTGGTGTTAAAATCCCTATATTGATTTTTAAAAACGGCCCGATTAGAATTTTAACCAAAATATTGTAAGTAAGCCTGAAAATTTTTGCAGATGAATGGCAGAAAAATGTAGACATTTTTTTTGTTAAATATCGAGGCTTACAAAAAAAATTCTACAGCCATATGCCGCGATATTTACCGACTCATTATGCTATAACTACTTAAAGATATTAATTTCAAAAATCTTAGAAGACACCATATATAATTTTCAAACTATTATAATTAAACTTTTTCAGGCCTCATGATTATTTAGGCAAGAAATAACAAATAATTAGTTTGAGTTGAGTGATGATCAACTACTAGTTGTTAATAACCTTATTCTTAATATCAATTACCAGCATGTATAAGCTAACATTTAAAAAATTATTTGTGAACAGCGTCCATGTGACAGGATTTTCACTGGATATAATCCCCTCAAAAACTATGCCTACTAGAGATCTGCAAAAGTAGAGCCGGCCGTACCCGGTGGCCAAAACAAGATTCAAGCCGGCTCGATCCTATCGGGTTCGGGCTCTGTCGGGTCTAACATTTTTAAAAAAATTCATTAGGGCTTTGGATTTTTTTTAAATATATATCGAAATTTACCAATTTTATGTTAATTTTTTATGTAAAATAAAAATGTTTGATTTTATTTATAGAAAATAGATGCCATATGACATATATATTTTATTTTGAGTAATTATTATTTTTTAAAAAAATTAATTTCTATATTAAAATAAATTTGGGCTCAGCTGGTAAAAATTTTTTTAAAAATTTCAAGCCGGACCGGCAAAATCTTTTTAAAAATTTTAAGCCGGGCCGGCAAAATCTTTTTAAAAATTTCAAGCCGGGCCGGCAAAATCTTTTTAAAAAAAATTTATAGCCTGGTCGGGCTTGAAAAATTAAGCCGATGCAGATTACTAATACCTACCCACCTAAAAAATTTTCGGCGCCGACGTTTTTCCATTATTAATTATACTTTTTTAGTTATAATGGTACTTCTTTCAGAAATTTTAAAAAGAATAACTTAAATTATTTTTGCTCAACCATCAAGTATTAAAATATTATGAATATAAAGGAGTTACTTTTTAGATCATGAATTCAATTAAAACAACCTTATTTATAATGAATGCATTATTATAGCATTATGATTTAGATGAGAATGTCTAACTAAGATTTGGTCCATGATCAGCAATATCATTGTTTTATAAATTTTTACTTTACATTACATCCCACCCAGAGTTGGGCAGGTCCTCCGAAAAAGAATCTAGATACAGATACAGATTCTTTGTGAAAAAATGAATCTTAGATACAGATACTAGTATATTTTTTAAAATATCAAAAAGATACAAGATAAAAGATATTTGTATCTTTTGCCTAATTAGAGTATCTTAAATACAAGATACTTTTAAATTATCATTATCAGTTAAATTAAAATAGTTTATAAAATACAGTTTTTATTATTTATTTGTGAAGATCATAACATATGCATATAATAAGAATGAGTATTTGCAATAATTAATAAAATATTTAATGATGAGCTAATTATAATAATCAGGCATTTTAATCAGTAATAGCCGATTCTTAGAATAGATAGGGAAGGGAGACTAGTATTTTTAATGGGAGTTGAAATATTAATTTGCATAAGAGTATTTAAAATAGATTCATTATTTTATAAGATAATCAAACTTTTCGAATAATTTATCATTACACCTTTGACGTTTTGGCCTACTTAACATTGTGCCAAAACTAAATTACCTTTCAATTGTAGCTGATAAAGGTATTGCAGTATTATATTTATAAAAAATTTCCTAAATGAAAGGATAATAATTAAGTATTTATAATGTATTTCGACTTTCTTTAATAATTTAAAGCCTCCCGTTCAATGTTCTTTGTATTATTGAACTCAGCAACATTTGTTTCACCAAAAGAAAAATAATCGTTAAATGTATAGTGTTATGAGCTTGATTATATACTCTGAAACTACATTTAGGGCTTCTTTTATTAAAATATTTTGAAAGTATTTGTTTTTATCATCTGACTAAATTCATAAATTCTTAAAATATGGATGTGATATTGATGTCCAAAAAACCTTATTATATTCAAATCAGAGGAAAATATTTTCTTAAAATCAATTTCTCATACGACCTTAGGAAGCTTTTTATAAAGGTAGCAATATTGTAAACTTGAATATTTAAGATAACTTATGCCCCTTTTAACCACACAAAAATAATATACTTTAATATGTTTAACAAAATTTTTGTTTAACCATCCTTTTTTTTTTGTTTATACAGGTTTTACATCTAGCCTGTACATTGTCTTTTTTAACTTTTATTTTTAAAAAATTTCTATATAAAATTTTAAGATTTCGATTTGATTTACGGGAACTTATTTCCATAATTTAAATTTTACTACCATAAGTGTTAATCATCCTACAAATTAAAAATATTACATAAAATTGATAACGATACTCTATCGAATTACATTTATATATAAAATATAATCTTTACTTATTTCGTCTTGGTGCTTTTATTTTTCATCTATCTACCTAGCAGTGGCGTAGCCAGGATTGTTCCATGAGGGGGGGGGGTTAAAAAAATTATTTTTGGGCCTTCGCCCCCAAACCATATTTTAAAAATTTGCCAATATTTTGTGCTTTATTAATGTCTAACCACTATAGTAGCCAGCATAAATGAAAAAAAATATTAGTAACAAAATTTTGGCCAAATTTACGATTATTATGCAACTGAAAGCATTTCTGAAAATTTTATCAATGTTTAGTCAATTGTAAACTAATTCAATCCATTCGGTGAAGAAAGAAGAATAAAATCGCCCCCCCCCAATCTCCTATTTTTTATGACACTTAATATATCGTATCCTATGTTAAAAATAATTATTTTAATTAAATTTTTGCATATATACCAAAATTTTGCAGAGAATTTCATTATAGATTTTATTTATTAAAATACTTTAGTATAAATAATACTCCTTTACAAATGAGTATATTAATAAAACATTAATAATTCTTATTAGAGACCTGCAAAAGTAGGAAAATCGGGCTCGGGCCTAATATTTTTTAAAAGAATTCGGGTTGGGTTGGATCGGGCCTTGGAATTTTTTTTAAAATATATCTAAATATATCAATTTTATGTTAATTTTTTTATGTAAAATAAAAATATTTGATTTTATTTATAAAAACTAGACGCCATGTAACATATCTTTTATTTTGAGTAATTATAAAAATGAATTTCTATATTTAAATAAATTCAGGCCTGGCTGACAAAACTTTTTTAAAAAAATGACGGGTTCGGGCCTGCAAAACATTTTAAAAATAATTTCGGGCCAGGCTTGAAAAATTAGGCCCGATAAAGATCACTAATTCTTATTGCAAACAATATTTTTTATTAAAAATAGTATAATATATAAATATTATGACTAAGTATTCATTATAATTACTTATTGAATATAAAAATTTTATGTTATAATAATATAGCAATTTTATGATTTGAATTTATAAAGAGAGGTGTATTTTTCTCTGAGATTTGACTAATTCATCTAGAATCAAATTTTTATCTAGAATAATCTCCTTATAAATATTTAATATTACGAATCATTTAAACTGCTTTCACCGGTGCTATTTCTAAAATAGGGTTTTAACCTTTTCAAAATTGAAGAAGACCTTTCATTAGTGCAGGTACTAATCGGTAACGTAGCTAAAATAAAAGCAATGTTTTGATATTAGGCAGGGAGTCTAAAGTGCTATTACACACGGAAAGGGCCTGAAAAGCATTTTTTGGTCTCAAAGAGTACTCTATTCTGTCAAAATTTTTATACCAAAATTCGACATCACAAATAACTTATCATACGATCCTAATAATTCATCAGAATAAAACTCTGAGACTTAATATCCTCCGTGTTTCAAGTGTATTCAGACTCAACCG